GAGAGTTGAGTACTGTTTCTATTTCAACGACTGCGGTGTTCAGTTCCTCAAAGGTGAACCGGGTGCTAGCGGGGGGAACGCACCAGCAGACTCTTTGCGCTCTTGACAGCGGCCTCCCAAAGACCGCCAAAGTGTGGAGCCCAAGGTGGAATGAAATGAAAGGTTATCTCTTTAGAGGAACAATATGATAGGATAGCATCTTGAGTGCTAGTGTTGAACATGAACTTCTTTAACTCGAGTAGCTTGTTGGATGCTCCGACAAAATTTGTGGCGTTGTCACAATAGATGTGCGATACTGGTCCGGGCAACCATGCGTTTCAACGATTTCAAAAACTTATTCGTTGAAGGATCTGACACGATTTCAATGTGAACGTCCTTTACGGCCATGCAGACATATATGGCAATATAGGATTTTGTGGGACCTTTGCCACGTATTCGAAGATAGGTGTTCACTGGACCGCGGAAGTCGACTATAACGTGGCGAAATGGCTTGTCTGTGGATAAGCGCTCAGGTGGCAGGAAACCCATGACTTGACGAAGTAGTACGGGACGATATCTGACACAGTGTACACAAGAACGAACAATGCTGCGTGCTAAAGCTCTTCATTTATGACCCAGAATTGAAGCCGCAGCAGTCCAACAAATGCCTTTGGTCCTGCATGGTAATTGCGCAAGTGAAGATGCCGAACATAATTGTGGACAAATTGCGATTCCTTGGGAACAAGTTAAGGATGCCTTTGACGAAAGGGGATATCAGCATGCTCGAGTCTGCCGCCAACCTTAATGAGCTCGTATCCAAAAGCGTCATCTATGAAGGGGCTGAGAAATTTCAGATTGCTTTTCAAATCTCTTTGTTTCCTTAGCAATTGCAAATCTTCCTTGAAATAGTGCTGTTGGATGATCCTGATGCAGTGCAACGCGTGGCGAAGTTCTTCTGGGCATGGCGGCGAACTTTCGACAGGGTGTTCCTTTTTGGCACTATGGTAACACCGGAACATATATGACATAACTTGAAGCACCCGAATGTATGAACTAGTTCCGTTCAGCCAGTCCAGAATAGAATTACTTTCGATAATTGCAGCAAATGTAGACTTCCGTTTTTCAGCATCGATGATGTCCATGTCCAAATCATTGTCGAATTGTTGGCAGGGCCATTGAGTTTCGGAATCACACTGAAACGCAGGTCCTGCAAACCAAATTGATTGCTGGAGCTCATTAGCTGGGCATCCACGTAACACGATGTCAGCAGGGTTCAATTTTGACGGTACATGTCTCCACTTTCCATCTGCTGTTTGATCTTGTATAATGGATACTCTATTTCCAACAAATGTCGACAAGGTGATAGAGTGTTGTTGCAGCCAGTGCAAGACAATCTGCGAATCAGACTAGAAATGCGCGCTGTGCGGCTTGCCGATGAATTTGTCTTTGACAGTTGTATATAACTTACTCAGAAGTTGAGCTCCGCTTAACTCTAATCGAGGAAGCGTCAGCTTCTTTACAGGAGCCACCCGAGATTTAGGTGTCAGAAGCTGAACCTGGACATTGCCATACGAGTCCGTGGAACGCACATATACTCAACAGCCGTAAACACGTATTGATGCGTCCCAGAAAGCGTGCAGTTGTATGTGAGCTCAGCTTGCAAGCAAAAATGGGGTACTGAAATCGACGACTATTCCTTGAGGGACGTTACGCATTTTCTCCATGCTTGTAGAAGTGATTGCGGAACAAATTCATCCCAGGCGAGTTTTAGCAGACATAGCTTCTGTATGATGATTTTCGAGACGATAATGATTGGTGCCAGCAATCCTAATGGATCGAACAAAGAAGACGCAGTCGAGAGAATAGCCCTCTTTGTGACTGTTGAATACAATTTTTTGGGTTTAAATTCAAATAGTAGCACATCACGACGTTGATCCCAAGCTACGCCAAGTGCGCTAGTGACAGCGTTTTCATCCAAGTTTAAATCCTTTACCGATTCGTCGTTCCTGACGGCGGGATGATTGGAGTGCCACTTAACCAATGGGAAGTGTCCTTGGCGAAGTATCTCGGTGACCTCGTGTTTGATGTTCTGCAACTCGATGAGCTCGTTTGCTCCGTATAGCAGATCATCAACATAAAACGATGATTGTACAATGGATGCGCCAATGGGAAACTCGTTAACATGGAGATCTGCCAGATATTGCAAACTGCGAACTGCTTAGTATGGGGCCGAGGCCGTTCCATACGTCACTGTATTTAGCTCAAAGGTCTGCAAATCAGCATCAGGGGATGCTCTCCAAAATATATATTGAAATTTTCGATCCACTGGGCTGACTAAAACTTATCTATACATTTTCGTAACGTCCGCTGTGATGGCGTAACGAACTAATCGAAAACGAAGGAGAACTATATACAGATCTTCTTGGAGTGTTGAGCCAACGAGAAGCAAATCATTCAATGAATGCTGGGACGATGAAGTGCACGAGGCGTCAAACACGACTCGTAACTTCGTTGATGCACTGTTGGGTTTAAAAACACAATGGTGAGGAATATAAAAGTGTGGCTCACTTAATCTCGGATTCGTCACTAAAGTCATATGGCCAAGATCCTCATATTCTTTCATGAAGGTTACATATTGCGATTGAACAGTAGGCTGCTGACTGAGGCAACTCTCGAGCGATAAAAAACGACGACGTGCAACATCGCTTGAATTGCCAAGGCACATTGGATCTCCCTTGAAAGGTAGACGCACAACAATCCTGCCGTTATTTATCTGTGTTGTCCTTGAAAACATATCTTTAAAGAGCCGATGTTCTGGATTGATTGACTTTGGAGAATTTTCTAGAGCATCAATGCTCCACAGTAATTGAAGATTTTCGTCAATTGACTCCTTCACAGAAAGCAAGCGATACTTGCCAGACACAACCCATCCAAGCAACGTTTTTTGAAGGACTGGCAAATTGCCTACGAGCTTACTAATCCCAACAGCCAGGCATTCGAAAACTGCTTCGGTACCGAGAAGGAGATCAATCCGACCTGACCTGTGGAAAGTTTCGTCCGCAAGTGGTGTATTCGCAGGCAACCTCCAATCTGAGGTGTCGATTTCCGAATCCGGCTGGTAGGCAATGTGAGACGTTATGCAGAACTGTAGTGTTACTTCAAATGGTGACAAACAAGAATTAATTCCAGTAGTTGTACAGTTGTTAATTTTAGTCGAGGTCTCCCCTATGCTGCGGATTTCGAAATGATGCTTATCACGGCGTAGATGCAGCCGTTGGGCGAATTGATCAGTTATGAAATTGACTTGGGAACATGAGCCAAGCAATGCTCTGCCTTGTTTATACGCCCCTGACGAACCTCGCACTAGTACCTTTGCAGTAGCAAGAATTATTTGTCCGCCTGGCGATTGATTCAGAAGGACATTTGCGCTATGGATGATGGCGATGTAGACGATGATGATGCAGGCGGTTGGCCAAAATGCAGAAGCGTGTGATGGCGATGCTTGCAGCTTCGACAACGATTGTTAGACGGACACTGAGCCATCCGATGTCCTAATTGAAGGCAATTAATGCAAAGTCCAGCATTTTTTACGACTCCGTACTTTAGTTTAGGACTCATGTCTTGAAACTGAGAACATTGTACAATTTTATGGTCGGAGCTGGAACAAACAATGCATTTGGGATTAGTAATAGCAAATGATAATCCCTTGCTAGGCTTGTACACGTGTTTTTGTTTCGAAGAATCAGCCATTCGATACGATGCAATGCCGCTTGATAACAGAAACTGACAATGACGTTCCAAAAAAGTTGTGCAGTGAGCCCAATTTGGCAATGTACGTAAGTCAAGAGACTCATTCCACTTGTTACGAGTTTGCTGGTCACATTTTCCGATGACGATGAATATCAACATGGCTTGGGCAATATCTGATCCGGTACCCAATGACGATAATGATGAATACAGGGCTGACGCATTTGTCCGGTTTGTCGACTGGCTGTAGATTGAATAGTGATTCTATGGTGTCAAAAATGTAAGTGTAGGCTTGTCATAACGTTCACTTAAACGAGCAAGAGCCTTGGGATAATTTTCCTGAGTGACTTGGAATGCCTTTACTGCTTGTAGGGCAGGGCCCTTCAAGCAATTCAGCAGATGATTAAACTTTTCAATGTTCGAAAGAGAGTGCTCACGACCAATAATCTGATTGAATGATGTAATGAAGTTTTTAAGCTCTGCTCGTTTTTCATCAAATACAGGCGGAGTCAATTGAGGAAGACTCGATGGCGGCGAAGAGCGAATTGGAGCAGGGTTAGAAAATGAGGTGCTGTGCAGTACATCATCCAGTTGGGATTGGATGGACAATGGATGATACTCACATATGTGTCTTTCACCTCTGCAACTCCATTGTCCTGAGGATCTTCCAATTCAATTTCAGATTGTACTTCCAAAACCTCCTTAATGTATATCTCCAACATGTCCAAGCGTAATTGTAGCTCACCGTGTGATAATCTTTTTTCACTGCCATCGACCTCAGTAGACACTCTTACAACATCCTCTAAGTGTGCGACATTGCGTTTTATGTTCGCTCGCTTACGTAAGTTTGCTTCAAGAGTTGACATTATGTATCGAGAATGTTGTGATCACCGATGTGACCGAGCGGCAGTTTTGATACTGCAGAATTTTCACAGCCTAACTTTAACTTGATAATGTCACTCTCAGCAATGTGAGCGAGCGAGTTCAAATGCTCCCACTGTTAACAGAACAGCTAAGACTTGTAAATGTTGCGCTCGCCGATGTGAGGGTCGCTTGCAGTGATGAAGCAAAATGCAAAGAACAAGCAGAGGCAGCGACATTCCAGCGACGAAGCAACGGTAACGAGAATGCAGCAGCAAAGCGAGGGTAGCGAGTTTCCAGCGACGAAGGAACGGCAACGAGAAAGGAGATGTGAGGAAAAGGCAATGAGTAATCAAACTCAGAGCGTATCCAGCGCGAAGTAACGGCTACAAGAATGCAGTAGCGAAGCGAAGGTAGCGAGTTTCCAGCGACGAAGCAACGGCAACAAGAAAGAAGAGCTGGCCAAATGTTGCTGTCGATGCATTATTTTGCGAGGAGTTCGATGAAACCTTTTTCCAACGAAATGTTGTGCGGCAACGATACGCCGGCAATTTCCACACACTATCCCCAATGTTGGGCGCCAAAATGTTGGATCAAAAGCGTTTTTTTGACCTTTTAAGAATCTTATCTCAAGTGGGCGTGTGTGGATGGTATGAAGTTTTAATAAAGGTTTTACAAATTGATGAGCAACACGACTGACTTCTATGATGATGCTTACAGAACTGATTTCTTAACATAAATTAAGATTCAAGGGACCGAGCAATTACAGAGTTCAAAAGAGAGCGAGGCCTCGTACATGTGAATGAGTGCTTATGACATTCAAATAGAAGAGAATTAGCATAATCTTAACATAATCTGCTTTGACATTGCTATTGATACCCTGACTAATAGATATATGAGGTATATGACCGAACAATGGGGATAACGTGTTTGTGCAAATGTATCATCTCCGACCCCATAAATTACATATATTGTTGATTAGAATCAACAGCCGAGTCGATCTAGACATGTCCGTCCATCCGTATGTATGAATCAATGATCTCAGAAACTATACTCCGTTTATAAACAATCGATAAAAGTCGATATCAACACCCTGTTTTTTAAGCAAATTATGTACTAATAAGAGCTAGAGTCACCAAACTTGGTATCTTGCTTCTAGGATAGAATATATATATCAAGAATCTTTCATTTTATAGGTATCGCCATCTCCCGCTACCAACACAGAGTTACAAATCACGTTAATATCCCAACTTATATTGTCTACCAGCTTAAGCTACAATATAAATGCAATTGACTTTTTGAGAATATATAAATAAGATGCATAAGATGTACTGTAGAAAATTTCATCAAACGTTATTAAATTATTAATTTAAATTTACTAAGTGTACACGTTCACGCGCGTCTGCTTTTTATTCTATTAACAGCATTGCAATTGCGATTGTATAGTTTTCTGGGCTGCTATTTTAATTCTTTTTTTTCTAATTAAGATTCAATTATTGGTGTGGCTGTTGAAAAGAGGCGGCGTCAAGTAATACGGTCAATTGCGAGTTTAAACCCTGCCAGGGAAACATTTTTTTTTTCAAATGTATTTTTATTACTACAATCATTTGGTGTTGGAAGAAGAGGTTTCCCTATTCAGGAGCTTTCGACTAGAACCTTTTACTTGTTCTGTATGTACCACACAAGTAACGGTCTTTACAAATGGCGACGTTGCGGCGCGACTTCGAATTTCAAAATTTTTGAACTGATTTACATCATGATCGATTTAATATAAAACTGCGTGTTTGCTGATATACTCACAGTATTCGGATTATTTAACTTAACCTTAATAGACAATTTCATATATATATGACATATATGTACATATATGTATATCAACTTTACAACTTTTAAGCAGCATATTTCCGAAATTCTGCCCTTGCTTTAGTCTGCTCAGTATTCGACCACACCTTGAACTCTGCATTTGACAAGGACGCTCCTCCTAATGTAAGAATTATAATATTGTATTGCCTATTTAATTGATAATAGTCATAGCACACAGTAGAAACTGCTTCTTAATAATAGTTTTAGTGAGTTAGCTTCACGCTGCTGCAGACCAAAACCGATTACTTGACAACAAACGATTCGTGTATATCACTAGCACCACAAACATCAAATCGCGAAGCGAATTACAGCAACAGTTGCAGGTATATGAAATCGGGCAGCGTCAGGAGACTTCGAAAGCAGAAACTACTGTGGGACCTGAAAGGAAGAAGCAGAAGTTTTCAAACATCGTTTGCCATTATTGTGGAAAGACAGGGCACAAAAACGCAGACTGCCGCCAGAAGAAAAATCGCGAATCACAACCATTGGGAAGCGGGCATGCTAGAGGCATTGGTATGAGGCCAAAAGAGCAAAAATCCAACGTAATATGCTACAAGTGTGGACAGGCTGGACACATTTTTACTGGGTGCCCTTCGACTGGACAAAGCTCTGAAAAGAGAGTGCACATATGTTCGGTAATGGAACCAAAAGGTGTGCTCGTTCATTCTGGTGAGTTCGTTGATTTTTGTTTTGACTCTGGAGCCGAGTGTTCACTCATTAAGGAAAGCGCAGCTGGAAACTTCTCTGGAAGAAGACTTTTTAACGTAGTAATGCTTAAGAGTATTGGAAACGATTCTATATGTAGCTCCACGGAAATTTTGACCAATTTAACCATTAATGACTTTATTTTGGATATGTTATTTAATGTCGTTATGGATAAATATTTGAAACACGATGTTATGATAGGAAGGGAAATTTTAAATCAAGGCTTCGGAGTGACGATCGAGTCAGACGGATTCTGCATTTATAAAGTAAAGCTGATTAATGTTGTTACTGAACCCGAAACATATGAAGAATGTATTAACCAAAATGTAGAGTTAGACGAAGCTGACAAGACCCGTTTAATAAACGTTTTGATACCATACATGGAACATTTTATCTCTGGCGTTCCAGAGAAACAGCTTAACACAGGCCAGTTGGAAATCATGTTAATATATCCAAATAAAACGGTACAAAGGCGACCATATAGGCTTAGTGTAGATGAGAAGCAAACTATTCGCGAAAAAAGTAATGAGTTGATGGCGGCAATTATTAGCATCATGCTTTAGACAATTCGTGCCGAAATTCTCCGAAACTTTAAAGCCTCTATTTTTTCTTACGTCTAAAGACAATAATAGTTTTGATTGGAAAGAAAGTCATGAAGTAGTGAGAAAGGAAATAATCTTTGCACTTTCCCGTAGCCCGGTATTAACCATTTTCGATCCACAATATCCGGTGAGCTGCATACAGATGCTAGACAAGTGGGTTATGATGCAATACTTATGCACAAAATAAAAGATAGAGACCATGTTATCGATGTTATATTACAGTAAATGTACAACCCCAGCAGAGTCAAGGTATAACTCATATCTTTTGGAAACCTTGGCAGTATTTAACGCAGTAAAATATTATCGACATTATTTAAAAGGTATCAAATTTACAGTATATACTGACTGTATCTCTTTAAAGGCAAGTCAACAAAAAAATTGGATTAGATGGCAAGGCATATCGAAGGTGGTTGTACTTGCAATCTTTCGAATTCGATATTGTGTACAGAAAGGGCAAACGCATGGCGCTTGTAGACTTCTTCTCAAGAAACCCAATAACCAAAAAAGCTACAGTTTGTTGTCAAAGCTCCTGAAATGCGCGTAGATTTAACTGGATTAAATGACACCTGGATTATAGCTGAACAGCAACGAGATCTCGAAATGACATCTTTAATCTCTAAACTAAAAAACAATGAATGAAACGAGAATGTTGCCAGTATGTATGAGTTGAGACTAGGCTTGCTGTATCGTAAAATTCAAAGAAATGGTAGAACCCGTTGGTTACCTGTAGTTCCAAGATCATATAGATGGGCTGTCATTCACTACATTTATGAGGCTATAATGCACCTTGGTTGGGAAAAGACCCTCGATAAAGTGTACAGTTGTTACTGGTTTGAAGCTATAACGAAATACGTACGAAATAAGTTTGTTGATAATTGCATCACGTGCAAGCTATCGAAACGGCAATCTGGGAAAATTCAACAAGAGATGTATCCGATTCCTAAAATTGAAATACCCTGGCATACGGTACATGTAGACATCACCGGTAAACTAAGTGGCAAGAACGACCAAAAAGAGTATGTTATAGTCTTTATAGATGCGTTTACAAAGTACGTTTATTTGCACCATACAGTGAAGATAGATGCAGCTAATTGTATAGTACCACTGAAGGTGGTTATTTCCTTGTTTGGTGTACCATCCCGTATCAGAGCAGATCAGGGGCGATGCTTTGCAGGATCGGGGCTTAAGGAATTTTGCTCGTGCACATAACATCGAGTTGCATTTAATTGCCACAGGAGCTAGTCGAGCAAATGGACAGGTCGAACGCGTAATGAGTACACTTAAAAGTTTACTAACAGCGGTAGAGACGGGCCAACGTTCGTGGCAAGAGGCATTAAAAGAGATACAGTTAGCAATAAATTGCACAGTCAATCGGGTCACTAAGTTTTGTCCGTTACAACTTTTAATTGGAAAAGATGTAAGACCATTAGGGATGCTATCGAACATTGTTGGTGAAAAATATGATAAATTACAAAATCTAAGAGCACAAGCAAAAGGGAATATAGAAAATAATGCCTGTTTTGATAAGAACAGAAGCGATAAAGGCAAAGCAAACGTTGTAAAGCATAAAGTGGGTGATCATGTTCTGCTCAAGTGTGAAGGGAGATATCAGACCAAACTAGATCCAAAATTTAAAGGCCCATTTGTCATAACAGAAGTACTTGATGGACACCGATATTGTTTGAAAGAAAGCGTCTAAGAAGGAAAAGCGGTTACGGCTGGTTTTCGTTGCGTTGCAAGAAGCAAAAGCGGTTACGGCTGGTTTTCGAAAGCGGTTTCGAAAGCGGTTACCGCTGGTTTTTGATATTATGATGTGGACAGACAGAAGTAAATGGTCTGAGCGAACGGACGTGATTGCGCACTGCGAAATTAAGAAAAGAGTAACAAAGGCCACCAACAAAGATGCCAGGACTCACTACTCAAAGTGTGAAGAATTCTGACCCTACGGTCGATTCGACATATATATTTATGTATGCATTTGATTTTGGAAGAAGAGGGTTCAGGGAATTCACTAGTCGTGAGGTCCCGACTAGAACCTCTTACTTGTTTTCTTTTGTTTTTGTCTTAAAGGATTTGGCACTTAAGAAAATAAATAGCCCCTAGCACAATGTGCACTAGTACAATAGAATTTGTGTCATAAATATGATGGAAAATTATAAAGTTTTATTATTACTTACAGCAGTGGTATTGCATCAATCGTAATTATGTTAAGCACTTTAATTCATATTTGTTTTCTGGCACTATACAACTATAAATATATATTTTTTTTGCATTAGCCTGGTGATCTTTGAGCGCGCACTTCGTATTTCTTTAAGATCTACGAAAAGAAACAATTTTTCATTACCAACACTTTGCTATGGAGGCCTAATTTTCCGCATAACTCTATTGCCTTATTCGAGGTAGTTGTTAAAGTTAAAGTTAAACAGCTGACTGCGCAGCAGCCTAGTTCGCCAAATAAGCTTCTGGAAATTCACCGTTAGATGGCGCTGCCAATCCATGTTCATTGTATGC